AAATTCAGCTGTTTTATTGCAGTAAATTGTCAATATTCTCTCCACAACTTTTAGATATTTTTCTGCAGTTATAGTTAGTGAACATGAAAATAATTAATTAATTCCTATATCCTTTCTTGAGATATGATATCTTTTAATATAAAGTATTTATTTACATACACAATATATGTATTAAAGTAAATGCATTTTGTTTCCTCCACTTTCTTACCATCTCTCAGAAATGGTTTTAATGAATCTACAGAATGTGATGGAAACAGTGAGATTTTCTTGTTTTGTGCTTTAGTTCAGTCCAGAGTTCAAGTGTCAGTCAGTTAAGATCAATGACAACAGCAGATCTGAGAGTCTCCTTTTAGTAACAGAGGAGAGAGAAAGTAGACATTGACTGCCCTCTAGTGTCTTTATAACTGGAACTGTGGCATTATTTTTTACTCTCATACTGTGAGCTACTTTAGATGCCAAATGATATAAACATTAATGTGGCTGAAATGTGTAGCTGCATGTCTTTCTTTTATTCAGACCTGGACAGTGATTTCAGCAGACTGTTTGGCTGTCATTGGCTGATTTGTGAAGAAGTGATCATTAAAGGAAGACATGTTATTTATTTAGGCTTAATTGTTATTGTTGTTAGATGATCTTCCTAATAGATTGTTTATTCATGTATTTTCTCATTTACTGATTTAATGCAGCCATGGTGATGTTAATTATATGAAAACTTCAGTCTGATGCTGGTTTGCATAAAAGACTTTTAATGGTTTCAGTGTTTGCAGATAGAGCACTAAGATGAGTACTGTAGGATTTTGTACAGCTGCTCAACCAACTCCAGTCACTGTGGCTCTCGAGCACAATAATAAACAGCAGAATCTTCAGTCTTCAGACTGTTCATCTGTAGATACACCTGCTGTCTGCTGTTGTCTCTGGAGATGGTAAACCGGCCTTGAACTGGCTGAGAGTAGTAGATGCTACCACTGCCACTGCTGATATAAGCAATCCACTCCAGTCCTTTTCCAGGAGCCTGTCTGACCCAGTGCATCCAGTAGCTGCTGAATGTGAATCCAGAGGCTGACCATCAACACCTGTTAAACCCAGAAAGATGCGTATTATGTGTTACATTGCTAATAAAAATGAAAATATGTCAAATCAACATCAGTGAAGTTGTTCACCTGCCCAGCAGATAGTTAACAGCAGCAGTCCTGTCCTATAGTCCATCATGTTAAACTGTGTGTCCACTGTTCTCTGTCATCATCTCTGCAGTCAGATAAGTAGAGGTGGAAGACATCTGAGTTTTGCATTGACTCCTCCTCACAGGGAGGAGAAAGCTAGACTGGATATATGAAACTGGGGAATTAATGTCCAAGAGTCAACCCTCCAAGTCAGCTGTTTTGATGTTTGGCTAGCATGTTTAATTTATGTAAATTATGTTATGTGAATTGACACATAGTTAATTTTGGTTTTGGCAAATGCTATTGCATAATCCTTTGTATGATTCAAGAAATAATGCAAGACATCATATCCTTGTGTTGAGGGAAAATGTCTTGTCCCTTAGCCCCCTTTATAGTGTGGAAAAGTATCCCAGTATTAAAAAAAAGCACAAATTAAAACAGACATAAAACAATGATATAAAGTCATTAGGAACACATTGCTTCCGAAAGTCATGGCTGTAATCAACAGAATGATTAAATCAATTTAAAACTCAACAACTTCTTTCTCAGAGAGTAACTGGCCACAAATACTCGACTGAATAAGTGATTTATTTAAATGTACTTTAACAATGAGTGTGTGTAGTTGAGTCACATGGTTGCTGGGTATTTGTGCAGGTCTGTTGGTGGTTTGTATCACTGTGGGCAGACGTACACAGTAATACACAGCTGTGTCCTCAGGCTGCACATTCTGTCCTTTTAATGTCATCGAGCTATTAGAAGTGTGAGTGTGGTAAAGGAACTTGTTCTTCAGAGCATTGTTTTGATAAAAGTCTCCTCCTGGTGTGAATCCTCTGAAAGCTCCTCACAGGATCCAGCTGCCAGCAGCAGTATCAGAGCTACAGAGAACATGTTGATGTTGAAGCTGAACTGATGTGAGCTCTTCAGTCCTCTCACTGACACACACACACTTCACTTCCTTATAAGTAAGCTTTATTTGCATATTGAATAATATTTTGAGCTATATTTAAATCAGATGAAGGTATTAAGACATGAGACATGACAGCTGATACGATGATATGATGTGATGTATGATACAGAGCTTTTTAAGGCAGCCGCCATTGTAGTTAAAATTATGTTGTAATTACAGGAAGGTTTTCTTCTTATTGATGAAGGTGTTGCTGTGAGTCGTGATAAACTGTCCCAACACACTGACAAATACATTTTTATTGATGGAATGTGTTTTACTGATAATTGGCCATCATTTGGTGGGGAATTAGTTTGTTTTCAAAGGGCTGTTTCAATGCTTCTCACACAGGGATCAGTGTGGTTCAGTGTTTGTGCAGCGTTGCAGTCTGGTGTGTCACTGTGGCTCTCGTGCACAATAATAAACTGCAGAGTCTTCTTGTTTCAGACTCCTCACCTCTAAGGACACAAGGTTTTTGGAGGTGTCTTTGGTGATGGAAAACTGGCCTTGGAGACTTTGGGCAAATATTGTGCCAGTTCCGCTATCAATGCGTCTGATCCATTCCAGTCGTTTCCCTGGTTTCTGACGAATCCAGTGCAGCCAAGCCAGAGTGAGTCCTTCCACTTTACAGGACAGAGTGACTGGTTCTCCAGCTCTGCTGACCACTGCCTCTGAGGAGGTGAGGGACTGACCCTGAGCAGCTGAAAGAGACACAGAGTTTAGATGACGGGAAGCCAGCAGACATCCAAAGCTCATTTTCTCCTCCTCCGCTGGACACCGACTTCACTCACCTGAAATGAGAGCCAAGAGGAAGAGACTTTGTACAGCTGTCATGGTGGGAACTTGTCTGAGTCTGCAACTGCAAAGGTTATTATGAAGGATATTTATTGTGCAGGCAGAATGAGTGGGGATTGTGTATCAGTGTGTGAATTTGCATTTTACCAGTCAGACATTTTGGAGTTACAGTGTTGATACATAAAGACTAAATCTGTGAGAGAAGGAGGAGTGCTGGAATCAGAGAGAGAGAGAGAGAGAGAGAGAGAGAGAGAGAGAGATTAAAAGCAGACAGAAACACCAACAAGAAAGATGTTCAGTCTTTCTCCTTTTCTCAGTGTCTTCACTTCAGTGTGAACTCTTTCCTAAAGACTTATTTTGATATTTTGGCTTTCTCCTGACTGAGTGTGTTTTTTTATATTAAGTATCATCTCAATGTATCTCTTTTAATTTTGATTTCCTTCTATTATTTAACCTTATGTTATCATTATCCTTGTTTTACTGTAAGTCTTTGTGTAACATTTGAATAAATGTATGAATGCCTCTGTCCAATGCAATATACAAATAATCAAATATTGCTACTGATTATAAATCTTCATTAATATTAAAACTTTTTTCAAAGGTCCAGTGTTTAACATTTAGAAGGATCTATTGGCAGAAATGGAACATAATATCCATAGGTGTGTTTTTATTTATGTATAATCACCTGAAAATAAGAATTGTTGTGTTTTTCTTACCTGAGATGCCACTTAATCCCACACATTGGTCGTTTATGATGTCATTTGTGTCATGATATAAGAATATAATTTCAAGCATGAATGAATAAACAGTCGCCTTTTCAGTCTTCCAGCTGTTTATCAAAGGGTGTGAGTATAAAACTCTAGTTCAGTCCAGCGTTTGAGTGTCAGTCAGTTGAGATCAGTGAGATAAGCAGATATGAGAGTCTCCTTATAGTGACAGAGGAGAGAGAAACTTGACACTGACTGCCTTCTAGTGTTTTTATAACGGGAACTGCAACATTATTTTTCACTCTCATAATTGTGACTTAACCAAATCATATAAACTTTAACCTTAAATCCCACTGATCCAAGAGGTAAAATTGTTGTCATATCTCAAAGGGGCTTTATTCTATCATTCCAATTTTTCATGATTTTATTAATCAATTTTTATTTATTGACTTCATATTATTCATTGTATATATTTATGTTATTTTATGTTATTTTTAACTTAATTTTTAACTTTTATGTTATTTTTAACTTCTGATTTAAAGTATCACTTTAGTAATACCCAATACGCCAGTTAACTGTAGCTTTCCCAAAATAATAATTATCTGTTTCTTTTCAGATGACATTAACTGCATAACTAATGTTTTCGAAAGAAAGTTAAAATTTGTCTGGCTGTCTCTTGCAGTAGTCTATTCTTGGCTCCAAAGAGACCCCAGTCAGTACTCCTGATATGTTCGGATGAGGGTTAATATGCCTGAAATGTGTACATGTAATATTTATTTGGTCCATTTTTTGATTGAATGATTTCAACTGATTGTTGTGCTGCACTTGGATGTTTTGTGAGGAACTGATCATTAAAACATTTTATTTTTTTTAATGATTTATGTTGGTGGTTAATAATAATCTTTCAGTTTTCAAAACAACAACAACAAAAGAAAAAAGCCCAATAAAGATAAGTACTGGAGGTTTTTGTACAGTGTTGCTCCTTCCTGTGTCACTGTGAGTCTCGAGCACAATAATAAACAGCAGAATCTTCAGTCTTCAGACTGTTCATCTGCAGATACAGCTGTTGTCTGCTGTTGTCTCTGGAGATGGTAAACCGGCCTTGAACTGACTGAGAGTAGTATTTGCTGCTACCACTACCACTGCTGATATAAGCAATCCACTCTAGTCCTTTTCCAGGAGCCTGTCTGATCCAGGCCATCTAGTAGCCAGCAAAGTTAAATCCAAAGGCTGTACAGGTCAATCTGTGAGATTCTCCAGGCCTTTTCACCACTGTTTCAGATTCTGTCAGAGTCTGACCATCGACACCTGTCAAACCAAGAAAGATGCATGTTATGTGTTACATTGGTAATAAAAATGAAAATATGTCAAATCAACATCAGTGAAGATGTTCACCTGCCCAGCAGATAGTTAACAGCAGCAGTCCTGTCCTATAGTCCATCATGTTAAACTGTGTGTCCACTGTTCTCTGTCATCCTCTCTGCAGTCAGATAAGTAGAGGTGGAAGACATCTGAGTTTTGCATTGACTCCTCCTCACAGGGAGGAGAGAACTAGACTGGACTGGTGATATTTTTATTTTTATTTGTCGAACTCAGAGGAAATTTTACAAAAATCAATACTTTGAGTTTCTCCTTTTGACTTTATTTTTTACGGTAGCCGTGAAACGTGCTAAAAAATGCAAAAGGCCCTGTATACGGCCAGTGTTTGCCTTGTCCGTTTGGGGCTACTGTAGAAGCATGGCAAATACAATACAAATAAAATAAGGTAGATAATATTTATAAATATTAATTAATATTATTGCTATTTTTGTAAAATGGAATGAAAATAGTGTGAAATTGAATTCAGTGATCAATTAATTCTAATTCTATTAGAATGTGTTACTGGTTGGCCACATATGTTTCTAGGTATTTGTACAGGTCTGTTGGTGGTTTGTATCACTGTGGAGCCACGTACACAGTAATACACACCTGTGTCCTCAGGCTGCACATTCTGTCCTGTTAGAGTCACCGAGCTAGTAGAAATGTGTGTTTTGTAAAGGAACTTGTTCTTCAGAGCATTGTTTTGAGAAAAGCTACCTGCACCCCACCGATGCCAAATCCATTGCATTGGTTTTCCTTCACACTGTCTGATCCAACCTGTTGCATAGCTGTTATCAGTCATAGAATAACCAGAGACCTGACAGGTGATGGTGAAGGACTGTCCAGGCTGCACAACCACTGAGTCTGACTGGATGAGATCAATACTGTTCACACCTGTGGAAACAGAAATCAACATTATCTCCATCATTCATCTGACTATTCAGTGTTTCTAATGTGTTTATTAGTGTGAATCCACTGAAAGCTCCTCACAGGATCCAGCTGCCAGCAGCAGTATCAGAACTACAGAGAACATGTTGATGTTGAAGCTGAACTGATGTGAGCTCTTCTGTCCTCTCACTGACACACACACACACACACACACACACTTCACTTCCTTATAAGTAACCTTTATTTGCATCTTGAATAATCTTTTATTTAAATCAATTAAACACTGTCGTCTCAAGAGACCAAGAAAGGTAGAGAGAAAAGAACGAAAAAAACTTTTTAAGAAAGAAAGATTTACTCTAAGATAACATTTGCATATGTGCTGTTACATTAAACTACTAATGAACTAACATTTATCTGCTCATTAAAAATTATAAACACAATCTCATATTCCAAATAGAAATATTGTGTGAGTGTAACTTTGTTTTTCAACCAGTTTATCAGTGTTTTTAGGTTATTTCTTTTCATTTTTATTTTCTATTTTTTAATGCAACACCAACCGATTAAATTGATTTGAATGTAGGATTTAGCTGTCTTCAAAATCTGATATTTTAATTTAAAAAAAGCTATTGTTTAATCAACAACAGTAATTGTAAGTATAAGTATACGATATTTAGGAAAACATTTTAAACTTCTCAAGGAAAAACAGATTTAAAGAAACAATGACAAATGTGATATAATTAATGACATTAATTAATTAATGTTGTTATCACGCTGATAAATACAAATTGAAACATCACAGCAATGATGAATGTTTAATTTAGAGCTCCTTTAAATTTGGTCCATTTGGAAGCCATCAGTCTACATTGAGTCAAGAAAGGCTAAGATAATGTTATTGTTCTTACAGATACATTTCTGCTCAGCCTCACTAGAAGAGATGATCATCCTGATGAGAGAGCAGCACAGTGTGGAGATTGATCAAGGACTCTGAATTCGGGGTTATTTTAAAAACAACTTGAACAAAGTGGTTTTATTTTCTATCAGTGACTGTCTGTAGTGGTTTCTGTACGGCTCTGTGGCTTCCCTGTGTCACTGTGGCTGTCGAGCACAATAATAAACAGCAGAGTCTTCAGTTGTCAGGCTGTTCATCTGCAGATACACCTGGTCCACGTTGTTGTCTCTGGAGATGGTGAAGCGATTCTGGACTGATGTGGAATAAGCTTTAGTGCTTCCACTCGGAGCAGAAATGTAGGCAACCCACTCCAGTCCTTTTCCTTCAGCTTGTCTGATCCAGCCTATATCAGCATCGTCATCTGATATTCCTGCATATGTACAGGTCAGTTTGTGGGATTCTCCCGGCCTCTTCACCACTGGTTCAGACTCGGTCAGAGTCTGACTGCAAACACCTGGGGAGAACAGCAGTTTGATCAGAACACAGCCAAACAGAAACCTTGACACAGACAAAGAAGAGGGCAGAATTGTGTATTCACCAGAAATCAGTGATACCATCAGAAACAGTATACATGCTGTTAAAGTCATAGTGAAAATGTGTTGTGTGTCTGGATGATGGGTTGCTGTGTCTCCAGTTTGCAGTGAGCTAAATAATAAAGATGGAAGAGATCCAAATTTGCATTGACTCCTCCTCATGGTGTTGAAAAAATAAAAAGTATAACAGTGATATTTATTGACTGAAGGGATCTGATCTACTTACTGAGGGAATACTTTTTGTTGGTTGTATAAAGATATTCATTAGAGGAGTGTTTGCCCAATGTTTGCGTCTTATGTGTTTTTAATTGAGGTTTCAAGGCTGGTTGGACAAGACACAGACCATAAATGGAAACGACTAATATTTGGTGCCAGATTCTGAGCATGCAGTATGTAACATACAGACAGTATAAGCAACATATGATTTGGATAGTATCCATCTTCCAAACCACTTGTATTCTTCATGGTCTCAGTTTTTCTTAGCGCACACTGAACAAGGCTGAAACATGTTTAGAGACACACACATTCACACATATAACACATGAAAAAGTTGGAATAGCCATTTTACCTAAATTGCATATGTTCTGACAGAAAAAAAACTTTATAACATATAACATTATTAAACATTTATGTTCCATATTATTATTAACATTAACATTACTGTGCTCAGCATTAAGAACACAGTTGGTCCTTGACTGCCCTCTACAGTTCTAAAGGAGGGACTGCAACTATTTTCCATTTGAACATAATGTAGAGCACAACTCGAGCACAATAATAAATAGCAGAATCTTCAGTCTTCAGACTGTTCATCTGCAGATACACCTGCTGTCTGCTGTTGCCTCTGGAGATGGTGAATCTACCCTGGACTGACTGGGAGTAATAGATCGGAGTACTAGCTGTGCCTATATATGCAATCCACTCCAGTCCTTTTCCAGAAGCCTGTCTGATCCAGGCCATACGGTAGCTGCTGAATGTGAATCCAGAGGTTGTACAGGTCAATCTGTGAGATTCTCCAGGCCTTTTAACCACTGGTTCAGATTCTGTCAGAGTCTGACCATCAACACCTGTCAAACCAAGAAAGATATGCATGTCATATGTTACATTGGTAGTAAAAATGAAAATATATCAAGTCAAAATAATTGAAGATGTTCACCTGCCCAGCAGATAGTTAACAGCAGTAGTCCTGTCCTAGTTTTGCATTGATCCACTAAACTGAAAACCACATTTATTCTAATAATACAAAAATGTTCTTTAAAATGTGCAAATGTCAAGATTGCTCGACTGTGGGCCCAAAATGTTCATTTCCTGAGATTATAGTCTCAGGGCCAGTTTCACAGACAGGGCTTAGATTAAGCACGGAGTAGGCCTTAATTTATAATTAAACTGGAACATTTATGTAGTTTTCATGAACGTGGCTTAAATTTTGTGTAGTTAGTCAGAGACTATGAGGTCCTGGAGTGAGGTAAGCAAGATTAATGAAGAACACCATTGTTAAGTCTCATTAGGTTAAGTGTAAGCACATGCTGTTGGTCTAATGGCACTCAGAACCCAGAATGAAAATAGAAAACATCTTTACTGGTGAGAATCTGGTCCCAAAACAATGGCCATCATGTTAAACTGTGTGTCCACTGTTGTCTGTCATTCTCTCTGCAGTCAGATAAGTAGAGGTGGAAGACATCTGAGTTTTGCATTGACTCCTCCTCACAGGGAGGAGTGATGTAGATTGGACTTGGTCATCAGCTGTTAATAAAACAGCATACACATTTTCAAAACAGCCATAGTTACATTGGAATTATTATCATGACACAATATCTCGACTTCATAATGAATAACTTTAGAATAATATTATATTATGTTATATTTCATTTATAAACAGTAGAAGTATTCAACAATTTGCAAGTTTTATTGGAAAAGACCTGAAATGTAATCAGAATCTTAATGGATATGTCACGAATCCCTGGCCGTGATGACTGTTTGGGTGTTTTGTGTTGTCTTGTGTTGTCTTGTGGTGTTTGTGTCACTCTTCTAGCAGTGCTCGGGGGGGTCTATCTCTGGCTGCTCACACACCTGGCTGAGGTCATCACCACACCTGCTCCTCATCAGTCTTCAGCAGTACTTAGGGAGCAGCCACACATCCAGTCAATGCTGGATTGTTGTGAAGTATTGAGTGTGCTACTGCTTTCCAGCCAGTTATTTATTGTTGCTACTGTTTGTTGCCTGTCTGCTTCTGCCTGCCTGAGCCGTTCTCTTGCTGTCTGTTTTTGTCTGCAACTAACCGTGTCTCTCTGCCTCAGGAATCATTACTGGGACTCAGCTGTGGAACCCTTTCCACTCAGCCCACGCCTCCTGTAAGCCAGCCACTGGATCCCCACACTCCAGGTCTACCAGCCAGCCACTCTCTGGATCACCCCCACCTCTGGACTCCCACTCTCGCCTGCCAGCTTCCCCTTTTTTTCACTATTCACTCGTTGTCTAATAAACCGTTTAAACTCAACCTCTTGTCCGGTCTGCTTCTGGGTTCCCCTCAGAACCCTGACAGGATACTGTTACGAGTATAGTATAACCAAGTAAGAATTTGGTAAAGCCACCATTATATACTGGGTTGATGGGCAGGTCCACCCCGTAGATGCCAAAGTCTCGGCCGTGCTGTCCTGTCCGATTTCCACATCTAGGTGTGGACTACAGCGTTTCCTACGCATGGCTGGTTATTACCGGTGTTTCTGCAAAAACCTCTCTGTAGTGGTTGCTCCTCTTACCAATTTGTGTAGCCCTAGTGTTCCTGTGGTGTGGAGTAATGAC